TAACTATGTATTGTTGTTACTAATCTTTGTTCAGTTTTTCAAAATATTTATTACAGTTTAAATAACAGTACACTTCCATCATTATCTTTTCGTATTTTATTGTTTTATCTGAATATAAATATATTTTTTTCTCTATATTTGTCTTTAGTTTTTTCTTTTTTATATATTAACTATAGTAGATACACCACTGGGCGTATGTACTAATTTGTAAACAACCAATTGTAAACACTTGTCAGTATTCTCTGCTAAATTTAATTATTTTTATAGATTGCAGAATGAAAATAAAATAAAAAAAAGAAAGTTTCAAAACTTTTGAACAATTTATTAATATATCTCCAAACCTTTCAAATTACATGCTATAATTATCTTTGTCGCCCGACTGATTTGCACTAAAAACGAATTCTACAATAATATCTCGATGAAAATAAAACAAGCTTTCACCGCCTTAGAATTGTTTTCGTCCTCAAATTACAACTCGCATTAGATGTTTTAATTATAAATAGCGCATGCTACGAAAATAGAAAATTTGTAAGAAAAAATTAAGTTTACTAACACAAACTACATATACTGCAAACGTAGCTGTTCATTCATCAATTTTGATAAGTGGATCAGAATGAAATTATGTAAACTTTAGCCTGTGAGATTTATTCTTCAGAACCAAATAAAGCGATAGAGATGAATATAAGTATGTTTACGTCAGTTCGAAAAAATTCAGATAAATACGTGCGAACTCGTTTACGTGAGAATTTTGTACAAATATTTATTACGAAAGCTTTTTCATGTATTACAGAACAATTTGTAAACTTTGACCACTAACATATATATTTCTTAGTATCATAATTGTAAAACGAAGCTTGCAATTAGTGATTTTTATGTTCTGTCTCATAGTCTTATAGATCACACTAAAATATTACGGCTGTTTAATTTTAAAAATTCGTTAAAGTTTGCAAAAATTAGTATCGTTTTTTTAGCATTTGTCAAAACTAGACCTTTGATCGATGTTTCCTCAAAAACGCCTGAACCGATTTCAGAAGTTTAAAAGCCATTTGATGTATCTCAATGAGGACTATCGTTCGTCAGTTTTGTGCGACGATCTGCCTAGCCGTTTCTTTTTGTAATTTGAAAAAAGGGTTGAACTTTTCGTCCACATTTAAGCTTATACTACCGAATCGAATTAAAAAAATCAAAAACTGTTCGAAAGATATTAGTTGGGAATGATGCTGATTAGTTTTAGGTAAAATCTACCAAGCCGTTTTCTTGTAATTAACTGTTGAAAAAATATTTAAGTCGGTTTTTATTGAATTTTTTTGGCGATATATATCATGGCCTTATAGAACTTACTGAAATATTATAGCCTTACGACAAGTAGTTTAAGTTTAAAAATTCATCAATTTTGAGAAAATTAGTAGTTTATTTGATGTTTGTTAAAATTAAAATTAGACGATTTACTTGGCATAACGATAGAGTACTTGGTCTTAATGAACATACTAAAGCATTAAAGTTCTACGGAAATTGGTTCAATTATAAATATTATTGATTTTTGAAAATTTGCTCTTAGAGAATACTCCCAAAGTTAACGTGTTCGTTCGTTTTCAATTATGTGTAATAAATCCACTCGGTATACTTTTAATCACTCATAAATTAATTTATTTTTTATGATTAAGTCGATTATTTACACATATCGGGAAGTTCATGTAACTTGCCTCAAGGTAAAATACCAATACCAACTAGTTTCGACATGTAATTTTACGTCATTTGATCTACAATTTCGCGCTTTTCTTTTAGGTTTAAAATTTTAGACATGCTGATGATAAAATTGTGTACCGAAATATTTAGGAATATAAAGATAATTTAAATTTTGTACTTAAAGTCAAGTCCTATAAAATTGAATTTATAGATTTTTGTAATAAATAAGTTAAATTTGAAATCGTGACCGTTTGAAACTTTTTTGCACTATTTCATTAAACTATTTTAGTTTAAAGTTTCGGGACTATGATTCGACTCATCATTTGTCTCAGTTTTAAAAACTTCTGAACATAAAAATATATGCAATATAAATGCATATTACAAATATATATATATATATATATATATATATATATACAAATATTTACAAAGTAAGAGAAGAGGCGACTTTAGTTCCCATGCGTAAGTTACCACGCGTATATAAGGCGATAGAGATCCACTCTAAATTTCAGTCCGTTCATAACAGTGCAATAGTTCGGATCCACTTCTACCATTAACAGTTTACAACTTAAAAATCCTTATTCTTCCGAGTACTTAATAATATACTGTGAATAGATCGAATTCGTCTAAAAAATCAGACTTTCCAGTGCTTTATTAATTTATTATTTAAAAGTTGAATTTTAAACTTAAACACCAAACTTTTGTTAATCGAATGTGTTCGGAATCCGTGATTGTTGTGAGTTGTTCTCAACATGGAGAACTGAAGGAGCAGGACGAGACAGGGTGCAGCAATAATAAGTTTTATATGCCCACAAACGATCCTTGTTATAAAAAAGGATTTGTAAACGTCTCAGAGAACGAGGACTAGATCTTATTCAAAATGGTATGATTTATTGACATTATTTTGTTTAAAGTTTAAATAACTATATTTAATTATTTTTAAATTTTAATTAACATTAAGGACATTTTTTGTTGTTAAAGTGTTTTAAAGTCGTATAATACCATTACGATTTTTTTTATTCTCTATTTTATTTACAACTATCCAGAAACATTTAGTAAATTTGAGAAATTTATAATTGTCACCCTTAAAGAGACATTGTATTCTATATAGTGACATGTTGGAAAAATAGTTGTTTTTCCATTCGTTATAATATTGACAATATTCCAATAATAACAATACGTGATTATTTTAAAAATATTAATATTTTCTACTTGTATGAAGAGTATAGAATTTTTGAATTTAGTATGGATCTCTGTGCATTTAAAAATCGTTGCTCAGTGTATTGCAAAATATTTAAAATAATATTAGAGTACACATAGAATAAATATAAAAACTATATTTCAATTTTATTTTGTATTAAAATAGTTAATCGCAATATAGGTGGGAAAGTAAGGTAGCATGTTTTTGAATATTTTTTGCAAAAACACTTAATCTTGAGTACTTATCAATGTAAATACTTAAATTTAATTTTCTTCAACATTGATCAGTAAGTACTTAAATTAAATAACGTTTTGCAACAATTTACTGTATACATGCCAAATCACATTTTCACTTAAGTTGCGATTAACTATTCTAAAATACAAGAAAATTGAAATGCATTCTTCATATTTATTCTATGAGTACCCTAGTTTTATATTTGATATATACAAAGTATATTTTGCAAATATAATTTATTACTTGATGAAATTTTGATTGCAATTTAAATAATGTACTAGCCCAATAAATTCAAAGCAAAATTACGGTTTTTTAAATTAGAAATCAATATTGATGAACTTATGTATAAAATTTAACCTTTTCCACTCGCAAATTCCGAAATTTATATGAACTTTGCCACCGGAACTGCGGCATCCGAGTGGAAAGGGTTAAATTTATATGCCAAGAGTTTCATTATGAAATATTCAAATAATACATAATTTGAACTGACAAAATTTAAATTGCAATTTATATTTCTACTGGTCTAGGAAGTATTAATGACAGGTTACATTTCTTAAATTTAAAAGCAATATACATGAACTAGCGTATGAAATTTTGAAATTAATATCTTTAAATTCAGAAACTTATTTATTTCTAATTAGATGCATGTAGATGAACCTATCAACATGAAACATTTCCAAAACCATCCAATTTAATATTTCCTGATTTGCAAAATTTCATAAATTATGAAAAGCTCGCTCAGTTTGTATATTCTTAAATTTATAAAAAACAATTTCAAATTGTATACATTAATGACAATGTAGTAAAATGGCATGCGCACTTAGATAATAGTACGGTGAGAAAAATACTTGATATATTGCTAATTAAAATATTTTGATTTGTAATTATCTTGTATTTTGTTTACAAACAATTATACATTATTTAATTACATTTAAAATGTTGCGAAGCTCTAATTATTATCTCTAAAAACGTATTACCGGCTAAGTAAAAATAAAGCACCCAAATTTAATTTTTGGACACAATGTGATGTTCAATATGCATTCAACTACAAATGATTTCTAATATAAGCATCTAATATAGTTTTTATATTATACACTTGTTTTTTTTACTATACGCACTCTTGTTTTCGTCGATTTTTATTTTGAAGTCACAAGGGTCAATTTTATTGACCTCAAGGTCCTGAATATTATTCAGGTTGACCTAATTCCGACAAGAATATATAAAACGAATATTTACATTCGATGCAACAAATATTATGATTAATATTAATAACAACCAAGCAATTGAAACACATTAATTAACTGATACAAGAATTATTCTGTTTTTGTTATTGTATTGTTTTGCACAAACAAGGACGTTTGTGAAGATATCGTAGTTGTCTTGAAAATTTAGAATTTCACACTTATTACTGTACACTTGGGATTTTTTGTAAATCATATTGGTTAAATAATACAGCAGATTCAGGAAGGCGATAACTAAATGAAGCATTTATGTAATATTTAACTACTGGTGTAGAAAATAGTTTTTACTAAAAATCGTTTTTCTGATGATATGTTCAAATTACCTGCTCATCTTATTCATACAACATTTAAATCAAACTTTCATTAACAAGAATAAAATAGAAAAGAAATAACAAAATCGATAAGAAATAAAGACAATGAATTGTTCATTTGAAATAGTAACAGAAAGATAGAACATCTATACAAAAAAATATTCAAAATTTAAAATGAAACAAAATTCAAACGACAATTTTATTCGCCCGGGAATTCAAATAGAAATTCAACTTGTGAATCATCATATGTAGTTATATTTGTTTTGTTGAAACATATCTCAACATTTAAAACTTCTATGAGCTTTTGTTATAAACCTTCTTTTCCAGCATTGCGCTTCTTAGAAGACAACCCGACGGTTGGCCTATCAATGTTTGATATATTTTTATTATTGAAAATTCAGACTATTTTCACTTGTAAACATACTTTAAATCTATATTTTGTAATATATTATTTCTAATATGTATTTTTTTATTTCAGATGCTAAAACCTACAACTCTTTTTGCTGGATGCATGTTGGTTATGGTGGCAACTCAGGTGCGAGCAGACACGGAACATTACAATTACAATTTGAGGAGTATGCCCAAGAAATTCTGTGGTCGTATATTAGCAGATACATTATCGATTGTTTGCGAAGGAAATTACAATGGCCATATGAATAAGAAAAGTGGTCGTCCTGAAGATGGTAAGTGTCACAAATTAATAAAATTCATACAAACGACTAACAATTGGGAATAAAAAAATTAATTAAAATCAATAGAAACTTGTCATTGGAAAAACCTTCATGAAGTCACGTAAATTCACCATAGTCTTATAGGTCAATAAAATATTGCGATTTACGTGAATTTTAACATCTCAAAGGTATTTTAGAAAATAGCTCATTACTATGTTTCTAAAGCTCATGACTTTCAATTTAATCTCAAAATTGGTATTGAGAACGAAGCTCACAATTTTTTTTTAGTTTCTGATTCTCTTCAGTGCTATAAAATATTATATAGTTTGAATTTACTTTTCTATTTTTTTATAACTTGGCTTGAATTCAAATATTGTTCCGATTAATTGAAAAAATATTTATTTATTAGATTAAATTCTATAACAGAATTGTTATAGAATTTTGCGTGAATGTTAGTTGAATTTTGGTACATTTGTGTAGAATCTCGATTAATAAATTGAACACGGGCTGGAATTTCATTATTATATTAATAAAAGTCACAGGTTCCAAGATATGCAAAAAAATTAATCCTGGTATACGATTCTGTAAAATTTGTACAGCTTTTTGTTCTATCGCAAAGATTTCTAGGTAATTAACAAAACAGTAATCGCTCCTTGAAATTGAAACTACATTTGAAAATGTTAACAAGTAAAACAAATACTTTCGGTTTTCTTTCCTTTGAAAAGTACAAAAATATGAAAAATTACTTTTTACAGAAACGGGTTTTGGATAGTAGTAATGACTATTCATTAAGAATTTTTTTTCTGAACATTGTGTGTAAACAATAGATTTTTGAAAACCATTGCTTTCGGTAATCTTTTTTCGAATGTAAAATGAACGTTAATTTCAGTTTTGCTATAAATCTCAAATAAGATCATTAAGTTGTATATTTTTCTATTATCTTTTTTATCACTCCAATTTGTATAATTAGAAGAAAATAAAAAGGAAAAAATCAAGAAAATTTCTGTAAAAATTTAATAGGAAATTCTGTGAAAATATGTTTGAAAAATGATGAAGATAATTGTTCACTTTTCACTATCAAAACAGTATTTTTTCAAACGTGTACAAAAAAGATACATAAAAAATGCATGCAAATGAAAGTAGAACTTTAGCACGCCTTCCAGTGAGAAGACCAATAATGTGAAAATTGTTTTTTTTGCATTTGCCCAAATACACCTAAAATATTCTAAAGGTCAACTATGAATGATTTAAGATCTAATGTGAACCCTATCAAATGTGGAAAAAAATACACATAGGTCGTCTTCAAAATTTTGTGTGGCTTTTTATATATTTTTTTTCACTAAAAAAAAGTGAAATATTCACACTCGAAAATTTTTATTTTCTTAAATCTTGTACGAAAAACGCAGTTAACAGCATATAAAGTGTTTTCTGACACATTTTAGTTAAAAAGACAAATAAAAGTGAAAATAGCCTTTTTACTGCAACGTGTTTGGAAATGAAGATAATAAATCAATTTTTGCGTTAAAAATACTATTTCATCAAAAGTAAAATCTGTACTTTGAGGAGACTCTCATTGAAAAAATACGAAAATTTCATTTCTACATTTGCCAAATTGCATTGAGAATGACAAATGAAATATTTACGGTTCTCATTGGTTCAAATAACAATGAAGTGAACACATTGGTTTCATTATGAACTTTTGATGTATCAAGTGAATAACATTAATAGAAATCAAAATTTCTAATAATTCTTATCTTTTCTTCCAAATTGCATTCAGAATGATTAAATACAATAAAGTGAACAATATTGGACACCGTCTCTTTGTTATGAACTTTTGATGTATCAAGTGAATAGTATTAATACAAATCTAAATTTCTAATAATTTGTATCCTTTCTTCCAGATCGCTTCAACAGCGACGATTACCTGAGTTTCGAGCAGCAACTCGACGAGCCGACGTTCCCGTTCCGTTCGCGTTCGAACGCGATGCGCCTCAAGTTCAGGAGGACAGTTCGCGGTATTACGAACGAATGCTGCGAAAAATCATGCACATACAATGAACTGAGATCGTATTGCGCACCACCGACAGATAGACCGTCGAATTACTATCCTTATTCAAACTAAAAACCCGAAAAATCAAGAAACTTGCTCCACAATGTACACGACTTGAAAATACACAAATAAAAAAACAGCAGAAATTAAAAAAGAGGAAGCGTTTTGGACTGAATTTCTATTGCGAACGCTGAATCATTGCTGAATAGTGGCGTATTAAAATTATTTTCGTTCAGATTGGACTTATATCGGGTTTATGTGATCATACGAGAAATCTGCTTTCATGTTTTAAGTTTTCGAAAAGCTTTTCAACAAAGATTTTGGACTAGTGATTGGATATTTTCGTATTAAGTTAAAATAGTGTTATAAATATACATATGGTGACGCGGTATATGTATTCAATAATTCAGAAATTCATGTAGCAGAGAAGGCAAAATGTGGTATTTTCTTAATATTTTTAATTCTGTTACTTGTATACTATACTTGGATTGAATAAGTATTAAAAACTTTGGTATAATTACTTGATAAGTTAAATTTGCATTATAATATTACAAATATTTAATTCATTTAGATTCTATTAAACAAAAAGCTGCCAATTCTAAACATATTAGTGTAGTTTAGATAATATAGTATAATTTTAATTTATTCGTTAATAAGTTTATTTGAGAAGATAAAAGGCTGTGATAAATGATTTGATGATTGTATTTAGTCAATAACTTATTATTGAATGCATATACCATAATTTTTTAAATAACGTTATTTAATTATAATTAAACTAATAAAATTCAAGAGCTTGTTTATAAGTTGGCGAAATCGTATAATTTAATGTTTGTGTATGACGATAATGACTTTAATTGCTAGAAAAATATTCCTAAAGTAATATTCGGAGATAGTTATTTGCCACAATATGCTTATGTTGTTTAAACGAGTGCATCTGCAGTATGTTAAATTATTTTCAATATTCAAGAAGAGTTACTGCAAAGATTAAAATTTGTGTGTAAGATATATTAGTTATTTTTCTATGTTATGAAATAATAAAGTAGATTACATGTAAAAGAAAAAATATTTTTAACAAATTTGTGTTTGTCTTTTCCATGTAATTTACCTTATAAAATAATTTTATGGCGCATATTAAGTCAAATCTGTATACAACTGATTTACAAGTTTTATACATTTGTGATAATTCTTGTTAGAAACATATTTTACAGATTGTCATTAGAATAATGTTTAATTTAATTAGGTTTAAGTCTTAAGTATTGTAATCATTAATTTATTTACAAACTTATTATTAAATTGCATTAGAAAACAAGCTAAAATTAACTTTCAAAAGCCACGAATTTCGCAATGTGAACACATGAATGGATCTCAAAGAAAAAAAAAGATGACTATCAATGTCAATATTATAAACTATAAATTGTATTTATTTTAAATACAGTAATTACATATGATATATGCTTTGTTTCATTTTAGTTCTGATAATATTTGCAAAATTTTCCTATATCATCTGCAATCAGTTTTAAATCCAAAAACTTTCCTGCATTATGGCTACACAACTAGCAAATAAACAAGAGAAAGAACTCTTTTATATAAAAATTATATTTACACTAAAGTCTCTAAATAATACAATCCATCTTTAACAAATTATAGTCCACCGCCAGATTTCTGTAGAAGTTGTGCAAATCTATTTGTGATCAACAGTGAAACATCGATAAAACGCTCTACACAATTGTTCATACAAGTTTCAGTTTTGCTGTCTAATTTATTTCCTGGTTTATCCATGCACTTTTCCCAACAAAAATCATTGAATTCGTGGATCTGAAATAGATCATTATATGAAAATATTTTCTGCATAACTGTATATAATACAAGATGATACTTGATGATTTTATCAACTTTGTGTAAAGAAAGTTGTGTGATAAACTGTTGTGTAATTAACTTACGTGAAAAGTGTTTATAATGGATGGAAAACAAAAAATGTGTAATTTCTGGTCACCGTATTAATTGGTAATGAAATTTCTCCTCCAAAAAAACCCAATGCAACGAACAAGTAAAAATATTCACTAAACTGTAAACACTTTCTCAAACATTACTTTGTTAACTTAGATTTTTATTCATTTTAATCATTTAGAGGTGAATTAAATGAATAAATTTGATAAATAAACATTTAGAGCTATAAAATAATTGTATAAAATTAAATGTAGATTTATGATTGATTAATAATTTTGCACATTGTAAAATAAATATTGCTATAATAATCTTCTTAAGGACAGAAAAAAAAATCTCAGCTTCGGCTATGAAGTAAGTTTTGTGAAAGGAGTTTTAAATTTGCCTGAGCTTTTGGAGCTTTTTAGTTTTGTTGTAAGTAATGTGAAATCACATAATAGAAAAACTATTGATACACATCTTGTGAAAACAAAGTTATCGAAGTAAAAACAAGTAAGGACAAGATAATGAATGAACTCGTTTCTGAGATAGATATATTAAGACAGCTAATGAACATAACTGTAATTAAAGCCAAGAAAATTATTCGTAACTGAATCTGTTGCAAATACTGATTCGTTATTTTAAGTTTCATATATTTGCAGTATTAAATGTGTATATATGTAGTAAATTGTGTATTTCTTGTATTTAGGGTGTATCAGGTGTGATCTATAAATTGTGTAAGCAATAATTTTACTTATTTTTTGCCATTAGTTTGTACTTTACACACTGCAGAATGTATTTCAATTGCATTAGTACCATGGGCATTATATAAATAAAAAAATAAATAAATGCAATTTAACTACCAAATGCTTAACAAGCAATAAAAGCAGATGTAAGCTACATACTTAGCTACAAATTACTCTGATAAGCATACATTTACAAAACTTCTATGATGGGTTTTGATAAGTTAGTAGCTTGTACCTTCTAAATCACGATAATTAATGCTAAAATAATGCAAAGAAGTTCTCAGATACTTCTCAAGCAACATAAGTGCATACAACATAAGCAACATACTTCTACACAAATCTGACTAAGACACTTTTACAAAAAATTAAATATATTTCTTTTATAGATCCTATTTTGCATCTTCTGAATTAAGTAAGATAATAGTAGCAAAATTAGAAGAAAGACACTTATACAAAAATGTATCAATATCTTTTGTATAATTCTTATTTGGCATCTGCTAAATTTGCTGTGATAATGCAATTGAAAACTAAGATACTTCTCGAGCAACGGAAAAAAGCAATATATATGCATCGACAACATAAGCAACATACTTCTTCACAAATCTGGCTATGACAATTTTACAAAAATTTAACTAAATATCTTATTTTGCATCTAATTAGCAAATCTCAAGATAATTGTTACAATAATGCAGTAAAGTTTTTAGGTACACCAAAATCAATTGTAAGAAGCCTACTTCTTTGTGTAAAATACATTTATTAAGCGTTAATAAACATGAAAAAATAAACCGGCAAAAACTTTTGGCATTAGATCATGTTTGCATGCTTGTAATTAAAGATTAAATAATAAGCATATAAAATCAAGAGCATATACACAAAAAAGCTAAATAAACTAACTGTAACAAGCTTTATTACAACTATTACTATTACTATGATGAAAATGATTCCAAAATTGCATAACATCAAAACTAAAAAATTCTAACCTGTGCATTGAATTGGGCTTTTTGTTTCTCCATCATCAAGAAATCTTGCAATTCAGATTCGTTCGCCTTTGTACCACTGCCTAAATCGGAACTGTATAAATCAGACATTGTAAATATTTCTTTGTTACTTTATTTTTAATAAATTTTTAACTTAAACAATTTTGCTAAATGATTTTTCGATTCTATTCCTCACACGAGTGTGTGCGTGTGTTTGACAATGTTAAAAGAGGTTAAGAATGGCCAACATAACGGAAGAAAATGTTCCATGACATTTCTAATAAGAACCCCCTTGGAAACAAAACATGGTTGTTTGTAAACAAAATATATAATGATATTTATATTATACCAAACAATATAAAAATTGATAGTTGACTATATATAAAGATTTTTAACGACATTATTAAAAGCAATGAATCAATGCAAGAAACTTTTTGAAATGTAAGTTATTTGTTAATATTATACTTCATTGAAATTATATGTGGGAGGTAGGTAGGAGTAATTTACCAAAAAAAGGGTAAAAAACAATTTATTCAATAAAGGTTTAATATATTTATTATTCAACTAATAAGACTCACAAAAGTCACTACAGAATATAGGTCAAATATATATTGTAATTATGAGTTCTCATTTTATTATTTCTACTTGGATACCAATATGAAATGTTAACTTTCCTCTTCATTTACAAACTTGTTCTATTATCCAATATGAAAAGATAATATATTCTATTACTCATAACAATTTATTTCCTGTAATTTCTATTTCATTAAAATAAACTTTCTATTTATATTTCTAGGTGCTTGGACGTTGTTACTCGTAACATAAACAACTATGTAGAATATCTAGATTATTTACCAGAATATGTAAAGTTCAGAATATTAGTACGAGTTACAAAGCTGAAATATGGAATTCACGACGATAATGTAATGAAAAGTTTAATACAACCTGGTTTAAGAATGCTCAATTTTTCAAGTTCAACAATAACTGATGAATCCTTGAATATTATTTCACAATGCAAGTTGATGAATAGAATAACATTTAGTAAAGCAAATTATCAGATGACTTCAGAAGGTAACTGCAAAATATAATAAAGAAATAAATATTAATACTAATTTATACTAAGTTATAAAATGTATTTTCAGGATTCATATCTTGCTTCTCAAAATTACAACACTTACAGGCTCTATATATTTCTGACTGTGAGGTTTTTGTCGACTCAGTATTAGATTGTTTAAAAGATTATTGCTGCCAATTAGCTGAATTGGATATTGGAGGCTGTAATGTAACTGATGAAGGAATGAAAAGTTTATCTTTAATGAGAGAATTGGCTTCATTGAACATTTCACGAACTAAAGTAATTTCAATAAATATTTTTAGTCAACTTGTATCTATCTTTTTCTCTTACTAATTATAATTTGCGTAGGTTACTGATACCGGTTTAAAGTATTTAACAAGCGGTCCCATTCGTAAAGCATTATGTGAACTACGAATGTGTTCCTGCCCAATTACAGACGTAGGAGTAAATATAGTTGCAAATACTTGTCCAGCACTAGCTACTCTGATTTGCAATGACTGTGATATCAAAGGTATGGAAACAACTTATTATTTCAAGTAACACTTATATAAACATTGTCACAATTTTTCTAAATTTCAAAAGATTTGTATAAGGAAGAAAATATATTTGTAAAATTTCATAGTAACAGATTTTTGTTGTTCTTTGATTTCAGATATGTCTTCTTCATTCCGAGTGTGGAAAACACCAATGAAGCAAATATCTTGGACAATTAATTTTGACAAACCACCATTATTCTAATTTGATTGAAATATTTATTTTTATTGTTAGGAGACAATTATGAAGATTTAGTTTTCATAGAATTTATACTTAAGTTATTTAACAAATGGTAGAGGTCCATATTATTTATTATAGAACTTTTGTTAACAATATTTTTTTATTGGTAGAATTTTTTACATAATTTATACGTATTTATACGAAATATAAGGAATGATTTAAAATAAGAAAATGATGTACTGAAAATAACAAATTAAAATAAAAATATATAATTTTATATCTCAGGATAATATAGATATAGATTAGTGTGCTTAACAAACATTATAACTAGACTACTTCATTTAAATATATGATTAAGCTTTCTTAGCAGTTAATGGAGATTGTTTTAATTGTAATATAATAGAACGCATTCTTGAAACATCCTTATTAGTTTTTGTAGATTTAGGATTAAAGTCGCAAAGCTTTGCAATTCTCTCCCACTCTGTGCCAGGCTCAATTTCATCAGTTTCAGCAACAAACTGTTTTTCGGCATTTCTAAATTATCAGTATGCATTAATAACTTATATAAATAATTTATATGAAAAACATGCAGCACATATGAATAATTCAGATTTTTTTTAACTATCACACACTAATCCTAATATAATTTAGATATTGTTTCTTTATGCATAAAATAATTATAAATCTAAGCAATAAAAAAAAAACAATAGTCATAAAATTATCAACTCATAAGATAACCTACTGCTCCTTAAAAAATAATACTGATATATAAAAGACAGATACAGTATTCTAAACTTAAAAAAAAATGTGACCATATTTAAATATTTTACTACTCTAGATAAACGCATTTTAATTTGGTAGCTATAACTATCGAAGTGAACATATAAATATTATTACTATATGAATTAATAAAATTTAAAAAACAATTCATGCTTCTACAAAAATATCTTGTAAACGCTTGACCATACTCAAACAAAAGTGTGTGATGAAAGAAAATTACTTGGCAGATTCTCTGAGCGAGCATAAAAATATATAATAAATTAATTAATTGTCATGAATATTCAGCGTATTTAAATAATATTATGCTTACCTGTTTGTAGACTTGGTTTTCTTGATTGTTCTTCATGATGTTTGTACCACTCTTCTAATTCTAACTTAGCCTGTTCTCGCAACTC